AAGGTGAAGGCCAGTACTTGAGAGCGATCCTTATGCAGCAGGAGGCCCACAACTTCAGTCTTGTTTGGTTCCCTTTCTGCTGCAGTGGTACACATTCAGCTTTTCTCACTCTTCAACATTCTCAGTTCAGAGGTCCCTGCTCTGCATTTCCTTCTCTTCAGGAAAGACCAGATGTACCCACACTTAAGTCTCATGAACATCAAACAACTGATCTGCAGCACTTGCCCCCAAGGTGGTAAATCAGCTTCACAAATGAAAGAGGATGCCAAGGGGCCCAGATTATAGCTGTGTCCACATTCCAAAACCATACCCTAATTCAGGAGCAAAACTAGGCGTACACTCTACTTCTTTGGTGTCATGATTTCTTTTCTTGCAGGTTTTTTTTTTTCCATTACATAGACACTACATGAAATGTTTGTTGGACCAAGTTACTACATCTCTCTAGTACTTTGGTGTACTACTACACAGAAACAAGAAACCATGCACACAAATGTAATCTGTTGTACCTGAAATGACGATTGAACAGGTACCTAGTTAAGGAAGTGTACAGAGCAATTTCATTCTATGTTCTGAAATTGCACTAGTAAACTTGGGCAGCTTTCAGGTGCATTACCTGCAAAGTATTAGAAGAAAATCCTAAACATGATATATATCATTTAGCTGATATAAAGATAAAATAATCAATAAAAATATATAAGACAAGCAGAATCTCATAATTATATTCTATATTGGGAAGAAAGTTGGATGATGTAGACACATCTGTGAAGTAACGAAATATTACCTTGCCAATCTAATGAGTTCTACTCATTAAATAAAACATCCAAGAAGTTGCATAGCTAGAAACTGACAATCAGTAACTTTAGAAGAATTATCTGGCAAGCAGATGGAAGCAAGGGGCTTTCTCTTCCAAACAACTCTGGAGCTCTTAATGTGTTCCAGAAGACAAGCAAATACTTTTACTTAAAAAGTATTTGAAAAGTAAATGGGATCATCCAGGTTGCTGTAAGTCAGTTAACCTAACACTGATTTGGCAAAGTCACAGTGTAACTGATACAGGTTGCGCTCAGCTAAGAAAAGAAACATAATGCTGCTTTAATTTAGAGAAAAAGATCTAATTCAAAGAACTACACATCCTTGTATGGCAATGTAAGCCTGGTGGCTCAGGATAACTGTCTAGGCATAATGTAGCAAGACTTGTAACTGAGCATGACGCAGCCTGGTCATTCACAAAGGAAAAAGAAAGGCAATACAGAAGAACTCCATGATGGAGCCAAGCCTTATTGTGAGACACCTAAACCAGCTCAATTTAATTAAGCCATTTGGAAAGATGAATACAGTGACCTGATCATGGTCTGTAATTCATTACAAAGGAAGAACTTCTTATAGCAGAAGTCTTTAATGTACTGAACTGAATGTACTGAACAAAGGCATAACAAGACTGTATGGATTAAAAAGAAAAAAAAAAGTAGTAAAATAGAACGACAGTTTCAGTGGCAGTGATAACCAACAAAAAAACTCTAATAGGGGACATGGCTGACTGACCATAAGGCTTTAAATTATGAAAGTCTTAAATCTTTCTTTAAGATTTAACTGAATTATAGACCAGCAGTACAATCATTAGTCACGGCTGAGATTCAGTTACTGTTTGTGGGTGACTTTTCTAAATGATTTCCAGCCTACATGATGTTTCCTTTTAAAGCAACGATAATTTGCAAAATCCAGCCACGAACAGACAATGGATTCAGTAAAGGACAAGAAGAAAAAGTGCTACCACCTTCCAGCAAAGATGCAAGATGCAACCTAATACCGAACTCCAGAGTCATTGTCAAGTCTTCTTGCGGACAGACACAAAGAAACAAATGGATTGGCATCACAGAGAAAATTCAGGCTCAAAGAGTTCAGGGAGCTGAAGAGGAAGGACCATAGGATCTTGTTAGAGAATCTTCCACTCTTGTGAGTGGTAGTTAAATAATTGAACCATGGTTGGCTTAAGTGCACAAAGTGGGAAGCTGCAGACTGTGGAACCTGAGGCACCATCTCAACAGGGAAGAATTTTCTATAGATGTTAGATCTTGCATCCTGCAGGGAGAGACTATACTTTTTAAACCACCTGAAGCATTCTGAATATGTTAGAAAGGCCTTGGGAATTCAAAGAGGAAGACTTAATCCAAACTGAAGTAAGTAACAAGGATGACAATAAGATTTCTTCAATTGCTTCTACACCAGCAGCAGGACTCTGGGTAAACAGAGAAGTAAGACAGCCTCACTGATGAGAAAAAAAATAAGAGGCCTGGAATAAACTGGCATTTCTGAAACTCAATGGGAATGTCCCTTGAGGAAAATATCATTAGTTTCTTCCTGGGCAAAAGTAAAAGCTGTAGGAGCATCAGCAAACTACACAAACACAAGCAATAATAACTTTGAAATAACTGGTAATACATGAATGGTACAGCCTTAAATACATACCTATGCTAGGTAGCAGATTCCAAGAAGGAGAAGGATAGCATACATCAGAAAACAACAGATCAAACCAGGGACGAGGAAAAGCAATTTCAAGCACCTTTAACTTACAAAATGAAAAGCCACTGCAAGGAATTTTAACTTGGGAGCCATTCCCCAGGGAATTCAAGCAGTTGGAAAAAACACCTTTCTGACTTTTAAAAATGTAGGTTTCCTAATACAAGACACTGCACCCAAAACAAGTCAATTTTTCAGACTTCAAGGTGATACATACAAAACATCATAGCTTGAGTGAAATTGGGAATTTTGTCCTGTTCATATGGAATATGGACATGCAAAAGAGAGTCACAAGCAGTAATAAACCTGTGCTGATTTCCAAGGTGAGCAAAACTATAAACCGAGTTGTCCATGAGAAGAAGAAGTAAGGCAGGAAAAAGTTGAAACTCTTCTCTAAAAAAAGTATTACGTGGCCAAAAAAGCCCTAATTCCACAATCAAAGAGGAAAACTTTTGGTAAAAGCTCATCCTGGGTTCAGTAAGAAAGTTTGTGGGGAAGAAGGAACAATGTAAGATAACCCCAAACCAAACCAAACCTGAAACGTAATAGATGGAAAAGGAGAAGGCAAAGACAGCACCTGACAGAAATAAGCCATTATTAGAATAAAGAAAACTGTTCAGGAAAGCATTGTGGCTAGGAAAACCACTGGTAATAGCAAAGGGATTTTGGTTCTTTCATTTCTTTTTTAAATAAAAAATAAACAAATCTTACTGTATTTTATACTGAGCCATGCTAAATAAAAACGCTAGTGACACTTAACAGGGGAAATCTGGTCAACAAACACTTCCAGTTCCATATTCAGAAAGAAACAGGATGTGGCAGTCACATGAAAACAGCAACTTCTATCCAGTACCTTAGCACCAAAGTAGGAGATTAGACAGCATCTACTAGGGATGTGTATTTTTAAGTCAGCAAAGAAACAGGAATCCTAAAAGAGATCACTAACGAGCTCTCTAGCCCATCGGGTCTGATTTTAATTAAACTTGGGATATTAGAGAAGCACCTTCAGACATTCATGACAGCGCTCCCAAAAGGCAAATGAAATGACTCCTTGTCAAACTTAAGGAAAAGCTGTTGAGATGAAGAATTAGTGAATGAAAAATAAAACCTTTGACCCAAAGGTTTTATGGAATACAGATTTTGTAGAAAAAAAAAACAAACCAAACCCTAATTTCATCCTTAGGGGACATCACTACACATTTGGTTTCACAAAGGGGACTGCATAGGTGCAACATACTTAAATTTTTGTAAGGCATTGACCTAGCACCATAAGTCAGAAAGATTTACTGTACATAATCACATACTAAGAGGATTAAGAAATGCCTAGCCTGCAAGTCTCATAAAGAAGCTAATAAAAAGTTGCACTGAATGATGCTTTTCAAATTAAGGTAGGTCAGACGCAATATAGCATTTTCAACCTGGATCTGAAAGTAAGAAGCAACTGATACAGTTTGTGGGTGACAAAACTGGGAGAGCAGCGAGTAACATGGTCCATCAGTAAGCCAGGTCCATTCACACAGACTGGCCTTTGTTAACAGCCTCATGTTAAGTATCTAAGAAATAAAAACTCAAGAGCATACCTGTAGAAAGGGGGAAACGCTATCACAGAAAGCTGAGACTTTGGATGATCCAGGGATCACACCACACAAGCAGCTAATGCGAGCTCCCATATAATGCTGCGAGAAAAGGGCAAAACGTAATCCTCTGCGGACTTAAGGCAAAGGGGCAGGGGGGCCCTGGCCATGGCACTGGGGCATGAACACCCCATTCTGAAAGGGACATTTTTACAAGATACTGAAAAAATTTGACGATGTAGAAAGAAAAGACAAGAATAATTCATGGGCTGGAGGAAATCCCTTACAGCAGAAGACTTCAGGAATTCCATCTATTTAGCTTGCCTAAAAAGTGGATTGAGAAGTGACATTATAGTGTTTAAATACCAGGGGGAAAAGCCCCACTGTGCTTTAAGGCTCTCTGAATCCACGGGATGGATGTATCCAGAACTAGTTACTGGAAACCAAAGCCAAAGAGATCCAAAGGAGAAATTGGGCTTAAATATTCCAACAGCGAGAACACAAAGCCTGCAGTAGGCTACCAATGGAAGGGATTCTGTGTGTCCCAGTGCCTCAGAATCAACCTAATGCAATTTGTCAACACATACTTCAAATATACATTAGTTCTTGGGGCTCAGTACAGGGTAAACAGGTTGAAATGTCACCTGTGAAATGCAGAAGCCAAATCAGGCAGCTTCTTCTGGCCAAACCTATTGATCTAACAAAACAACCATTTGTAGCCAACCCTGGTGACTAAATGCAAAGAAAAAGATTTCTGCCACAGGCTCCAGAGGTGCAGAGCACAAAGCTCCTCGCTTTCCTTGGGTGAAGTGAGGCTGCCCAAAGGCAGGCTGCCTGCTCAGGACACACAGCAGCAAGATGCTCGTGCAGTGGTCTGGTGCAGGAGGAAGGAACACACGTCACAGGGGCAGGCTGCTCGCAGCAGCACCTTCCAGGAGCCTTTTACACCAATTTATTTCTATACAGATGGTTAAAAAAAAGCCCCTATTGGTTGTTCATACAGAAGTCTGGGATTCTGTAGGCTTTGGGTGGGCGTTTGATTTTTAATCCCAACAACACATGCTTTTGTTCCCTTGCTTTCTCATTCTCTTCCAAGTCAGCCTCCATGATCCAAAGGAACTAACAAGTGACACACAAGACTAGTAGTCATGTGGATCAGTTATATATCAAAAAAAAAAAGGGGGGGGGGGGGGAGGGAGAAGAATTGAAGATGAAGAGAAAGGGAAAAACAAACAAAGATTGAAAATAAAAATTCATCAGGATAATGCGTTTTATAAACACAGAGATAGAAACAGTTACAGCAAGGACAGAGCGGGCCAGGGGTGGGGAATAGATATTTATATATATATATATATATATAAATTCAAGGGGCCTTCAGTTTATTCTTGTTGGCTCCCCCTTCTCATTAGATTGGTCTCTCTGTGGGGATCTTCATCCCCTTCTCTCCACTGTCCACCTTTTGGGGATTCTCTCCCATGACCAGGGTCCAGAAGAGGCCACCACTGCCATGTGAGTCCAGCCCGTCTTGGCAAGAGGGAGCCTGGGAGAGCGCTCCGCTGGGAGGTGAGCAGGAGAAGCTAGCCCCTTTCCCTGCCTCCTGCCGGCTCCTTGAAAAGACTGGGCTATTCCTCCTCCTCCTCTTTCCCTTTGGGAACTGGGGCCAGAACAGGGATACAAGAGTCAGAACTGCTGTCGTTCTGCCTTTCAGGAAAGGGAGTAGAGAGACGGGTGATGATTATTTTGGCAGTCTCTTACCCTCCCTCCAGTTGCTTTTTGGTTTGTTGTTGATGCCTGCAGACTTTTCGGGGGGGGGGGGGGGGAAGCAGGCAGGAGGGAGAGGAGGAGGAGTACAAGCTGCTAGGACATCATCCATAACGGGCAGGAAGAGCAATGAGCAGGAATCCACATTCCTACAGGGCCTTGGCCACCATGCTGCTCAGACAGCTGGGAGACAGAGGCAGCAGCCAGTGCAGACAGACTCCTCTCTATTGCTCTCCACCACGGGAGGAGAAAGAGTGCAATACTCCACAACCCTCGGGCAGCGTAGGCACGGTCCAGCCCAGAGAACATGCCTCACCTCTCCCCCCACACTGGTCTCACCTTCCTCTGGGGAGAAGGTTTCTCCCATCCAGTCCTTGGGGCAGGACGAGCAACCCCTCCTCCCCTTCACAAGCAGGAGGGACAGGAATGGATATTTCTCTCTTAGACACTCAAGGAAATCCTCAAAGAACGCCATCCAGCTATGAACCCTTCCACATTCTTCTGTGGCCTGCTGAAAACATGTGTCCGAGCCCCTGTACATACAAGGACCCTCTCTCCATCCCATTCACCATGCATGTCTCAACAGGCACCCCCCCTTCATACACATCCTACAGTGAGAGAGAAGGCAAAACAGGGGCCTTTCTTTGGGTTTGAAAGGAGGGGCTTTTGCATGAGGAAGTGATCCCAGCACAGGAAAGGGGCTCTTGCACAAGGAAGCATCCTCCTACCAGGCAGGCTGTTGCACAGAAGGAGCACCCCCTTGAGACAGGCTGTTGTTCAAGGGGGTGCCATGAACAGGGTTACACGGCCAGAAACGGCTGTTGCAGGAGGAGAGGCCAGAGACTGTTGCACGAGGAGGGCCGCTGCACAAGCGGTGCCCCTGGGTGCCGGCTATGCACAAGAGGCTTTCTGCTCCCTGGGTTGAGGTCTCTCTAGGAGCTGGAGAGGTGCTCCACTTGGATGGCGCTGGTGCTGACAGTGAGGCAGATGTCCTTGTGATGCTCTGAAGTCTTGTAAGGAGTCAGGTCAAAGGAGCACTGGGGGGGAGGGTTGGGTTGGTTAGTGTCTCCAGAAGGGCCCCCTGCTGCCCCCCCACCCTGTGGCTGGAAGTGCTGCTGCTGCTGAGAGGCTTGAGCTTGTGCCTGAACCACCTGCTGCTGTGGGTCAGGGATGTTGTGTTTCCGCATGTGCTTCATCAGGTACGTCTCCTGCAATGGGAAGAACGGTGGTCACAGGAGGGGAGGGCGTTCACCAAAGCCAAACCCAATGGGAAGGCACACGACAGCCCAGGCGGCTGCTCCCTCTGGATCTGGAGGAGCTACTCCCTGGGAAGTGTGTTCACTCCTGCTACTCCCCAGAGCAGCAAACACTCACCGAGGTGTAGGCCCGGCTGCAGATGGAGCAGGTGTAGACCTTGGCGTGTTTCACCGTGTGCGTAGCCAGGTGTACCTCCAACGAGGCAGCATCCGTGTATGCACGGTGGCAGTTGTGGCACTTGAAAGGTTTGTCTTTGTTGTGCTGCCGTCTGTGGGACTGGGGACCAGCAGCAGGGTGGAAGAAAGAGAAAGCAAGCACAGGGGAGGAACCAAGTGTTAGTACTGAAGAAGGTTTTACCTCCAATACCCTCTTCCAGCCAGGCCCCAAGCTCCCTAAGTCTCCTGCCTGGCTCCTACTGCAGGGGACAGAGCTTCTCCCTTCAGCCGACCACATCATCCCCACAGATGCCGTTTTTTCTCAGGCATATTAGGCATTTGAAGAGCAGAGTCTCCCAACTCCCCACAGCCCCCATCTTCTCAGCCCTCCCCCCCCCCCCCACTTTCTCAGCCTGTTCCTTTTCTCTCTTCTGCTTCACTACACATTTGCTCCCAGCATCTGTCACTGCCCTTCAGGGCAGGATCTGCTTTAATTGCTCACAGTTTACAGCTCTTTGCCATTTGGCACACGCTACAGTTCCCCTCCTTCAGGATACTGCAACAAGACACACCACCTCTGCTTCCCTAAATCCCTGAATGTCCTCCATTTCATTGTAAAACAAACAGAAAACCCAATCAGATACCCAGATTTTATTCAGAATGACATTTAGCAAAAATCTTGCCCCAGCTAAGTTAGAAAACTCTGCAGAACAGATGGGGGGAACTTTACCAAGGTCTCACTGCCTTCAAGTCAAGTTTACAATTTTACAGGATGTGACTTCTTTGGGTCACTAGTGCTACAAAAGCCAGGAATCTCTCCCCTGCTTAGGGCTTCAACAGCTTTTCTGTATTCTTACACTCCTCCCGAGTGCCCCCATTTCTCCATCCACTCTACCACAGGCAAGTAGCCTCCCCTACTACTTGACAGCTACCCTTGCCACCTGCACTGGTGAGCAGGACAAGCCCAGCCCCTTACCTGCAGGTTGGAAAGCTGGGTGAAAGCCTTTTCACACCCAGGATGAGCGCATTTGTAGGGCCGGTCCCCTGTGTGGATACTGTTGAGAAGGAAGAGCACAAAAGGGAGGCAGTGAGCAGGCACGTAGAGCAGACTGCCAGGGCCTGCTGCTATGATCAAATCCCAGAATCACTCAGGAAAGCAGGGAAGGGGATCATGTTGCCTCCAGATGCTGTTCTATCTGGACAAACAGAGCTCTGCCCAGCTCCTGTGTCCAGCTAGAAGTTAGAGAAGACAGGCAGTCAAGCAGATTTCAGACAGTGACTAGGACTGAGGAGCAAAAGCTTATGAATGCCTGGCCAGCTTGGCATTTTGTGCCACCTGAAAATAGGTTAGGAAAGGGTCTGGAGGTCCAGACCCCCTGCTCCAAGCTCAGGAGGCCCATATGGCCAAGAAGAGTCTGTTCTCTCGTTTCTGCAAGGCCAAGAAAGCAGCTCTGTTCCTTCTCAGGAACAGACACTCGAATGCTTTTCCCTTTACATTATCAAGCTGAGATCATCTACAGCGTTCATCTGTCCCTGTCCCTGTCCCCCTGCAATGCCAGGAGAAGCTTCCACACACTCAGTCCAACCCCCATGGTGCCAGGCTGGGATGCCCTATGGCCAATGCCTCTCTTCTCTATGGCTCTCTCTCTCTGTGCCCCCCGCGGTGCAAGACCAAGGATCCCCAGGGCCAGCATGTGCCCACCTCCGCCCTGACGTGGTCAGTGTCTCCTGCGCAGCCTCCACTCCGTCCACTCTGGGGGGGTCACCTCCTTGCGAGGGTGCAGCCGGCCGCGTTCCCCGCCCGCCCCCCGCATGCTTGGCGCGCGTGCTCCACTGGTGCATGCCGGCAGCGCGGGGGGGCCAGGGCCAGGCCCCCAGCCTCCTCTGGCCCTTACCGTGTGTGCTGCTGCAGGTGGGAGAGCTGGCGGAAGGCCTTCTGGCAGTAGCGGCAGGTGTAGGGCTTGGCCCCCGAGTGGATGCGGAGGTGCTGGGCCAGGTAGGATGTGTTGGCGAAGCTCTTGGAGCAGTGAGGACACTTGTGCGGCTTGACAATCGCTGTGTGGAGCTTGGAGTGGATCCTGCCGAAGAGGAGGAGGAGCAGCAGCAGTTGGACATGACCGCCATCTGGCTAGTGCTGATGGAATGAGGGCATAAAGGGGGTGGGACAGCACCACTCTATCTGCTACATGGAGGAACTCCAAACACTGCATGAGCTCGCTCGGTTTCAAACCGTGCTCCTCTTGGATTCAAGAGACCATGGTCTGTCTGCACCGGGGGAGGATCCAGAGAGAGGAACTATAGAGTTTGGACTGAGGGGCATTGGCAGAGCTGTGTGTGGGAAGCCTACAGCTGTAATAGCAGGGGGGCTGCAAGCCTGGACTGAGACGTTTGGCAGAACTACGCTGGGGTGACAGGGAACAGTCCTCTTACACCCACTCTCACTCTGACACAACCAGCCCTACCCTCCATCAGAAAGCATCACTCCGTTGCAGATGCCCCTTAGGGTGAGCAGTGTTAACCTCTGTGCGTACCCAGCCCCTCACAGCAAGTGACAAGTCTCACATGTCGGATACCACTACTGCCCGTTTGTTGTGTCCGAGACCTGACCAGCCTGTGGAAAACAAGCTTGGTCTCCCCAGGCAGTCGCCCACTGAGGGTGCTCACAGCATGCTGGGATGACGGCAACATGCAGTGTGGAGGGCCCCCAGCCTCCTCTGGCCCTTACCGTGTGTGCTGCTGCAGGTGGGAGAGCTGGCGGAAGGCCTTCTGGCAGTAGCTGCACGTGTAGGGCTTGGCCCCTGAGTGGATGCGAATGTGCTGGGCCAGGTAGGAGCTGTTGGCGAAGCTCTTGGAGCAGTGAGGACACTTGTGTGGCTTTGTCTCCGTGTGGGACTTGGAGTGGATCTGCATCTCCGACTTGGAGTAGAAGGTCAGCGAACACATCCGGCACCTGGGACCGGGACGAGGGGAAGAGACAGTGTCACATGGGGGCGAGCCCCACTACCTATCAACCCTAACTGGATGGGGTCTTCCACACTGCGTGAAGGGATGTTTTCTTGCTATATGTGGCTCTGGGGAGGTTTCACCCGGGACACTGTGCTTGGCTGCAAGTACTCCAGTCCCAAGGGGACAAACTTAAGCTAGGAACTGGCAGAAGAAACCAAACAATACCTTGCAGCCAGACAAGTGAAGGTCTTAGAAGAATCAAAGAGGTTAATTTATGAGACCTACAAGGGAGACAGGGCAGCACTTTGGAAATTTTCCAACAGCAGTCTGAAGGGGACAGAATAATAATTCCCAGACAAAAATCACTTTTTGTTCATCTATGATTTATTTCAGTCAAAAAAAAGGTTGGAAAACCTGGAAATCCCAGGTTAAGGTTCATTTTCATCATAAAAATTAACTCCATGTACTGCAAAGTCTGCAAAAGCAGTTATGACCAAATCCACTTAACTCTGCTCCCATTTTTGGAGAAGACGTGATTATTTAGAACACAAAATGCTGACACTAACAACAGGGCTGCTTTCCTAGTGGGTCTTACAAAGATACTCTGGATATCAAATGTGGTATTTCACTGGTCTAATGGGCTTTCATAATTTCAACCTTACTGATGTGATGCAAAATGTTTTGTCTAGGAGTTTAGATCCATCTGTTCCCATAATGATCAGAAATGTATTTGGTAACACACAGACTCTTTGAACAGGAAGAAGCAGTTGGCATCTATCTGCTACGGATGCTGCTGTTAAGAACTGTTCCTCCATCATTACACCATGCTGTTAAGAGAAGCTTGCACTGTTTTACAATTCAAGATAGTAAAAGCTTTTGTGGTTGATAATATAACGGAGAGATAGCAGCAGTAGCCAAGTTACTGGACTTTTTCTTATCCCCTTCCTCCCCACCACCCATATGTGTGCCAACCAATGGGCAGAGTTAAAGGTTTCTCTGAACTTCGTTTTTCCATTTGCAGACTTTCCAATTAAACAAGACAAAACTGAACCTGCACTTGGAACTTCCAGGGCCACAACTGAGAGTCTGGCTAACATGAATTCAACCTTCACAGCAGGTCGACTTCAGTTTTTGTCTGGGAATTTCCTCAGGCTTTCAAGTGTTTACAAAACTGCTCAATGACAGAAGTCCCTGCAGGTATTACAAGCCACAGAGAATTATCCTGCTCTTCCCCATATCTATCTCCTCCCAGGAAGATACTTCATTACATCTGCTATTGTGACTATTTACACTGAGCCAGAAGCTTTAGGAAGTGTGCAGTCTGATTAGCATGTGTAATGTAGGCAGTATTTATCCAGCACCCACTTTAACTTTCACAGGCCCTTCCAAGCCACAGCTTGATTTTAAGCCATTTAGGTAGAAGCCATGCCTTCCTAGCAAGCATTCTACAACACACTTGCCATAACACTTTCTTACCATCCATCACTGTTCTTTTACATTCATTATCATCTCTAAGAGTTGTTCTCATGTTTCCTACCTTCATCTTTCTCTTAATCCACTTTCAATGGCAAACCCTAACAGAATATGCAAGCTAAATACATCCTTATTTAGATCCCACCTCACACACACAACAATCGCTTCTGGAATCAACAAGAAGCAATTTGGCTGTTTAGGTCTATGTGAGATGCAGGGAGTAAAAAGAACACCAGAATCATAAGGAGCTATCTTTAAACACTTGTGCAGTTTGTTCCAGACTTTCTGACATGTTTAAAGCTAGACTTGAATACAGCATATGCATTTTCCACTTATCAAGTCGTACTTACAGGGTGAGGATTGTATCCTTGAAAGCAGCAATGTTAGATAGAACTTTGAGGTGAATACTGAACTGAAAAACACATCTGAGTGCCCACGTCCAGTTCCCTGCTAATGCAAGCAATTATGGCATAACCCCATCTATGACTTTTATCAAGCTCCTCAGCAGATTCTTACTTCAGTTACTCTCAGCTGAACTCTGTTCCACAATATTAGTCCTCTGATAAGGAAACATTCAATTGAGAACAAGCTCCCAGTGGGACACTGTGCTAACATGGCTAACCATACTAAACCAAAGGGGAATAGCAGGGATCCTTGTAAACAGGACTAGAGTGACTATTCCTGCAACAATGTGTCTAATTCTGACTTCCACCTAAGTCGACAAGTATTGAAAAACTCAGGCAAATGCTGCAAACTTGAAGAATGCTGGCATGTGGAAAATCGACTTCACAGTGAAGATTCACTGAGCCCAGCCTATCTAGGTTTGGAGAAAAGCTTGAAAGATAGCGCAGCCAATACCCATATAAATCTATGTAGGGAGAAAAATATCAATTACTAAGGGCTTGTTTTATGGGCCGAGAAAGATATAATGAGAAACAATAACTGACACTAGAAGCTAAAAAATCCAAGAGGAAACAGGATCTTTCCAACCATGAGAATAATGCATCTTTGGAACAATGCTCAGAGGCTATAGTATGGTCTTAATCGCTTGGCCCCTACAATCAGTAGTTTGAAAATCCAACTACCCTTCTGAGAGAAATACCTTTCTGAATGTTTTGCTGTAGTTTAAATACAACTCTGTGCGCTTATCTCTTCTGCGCTGTACACATGACTATATTTTAAACAGTCTATTCTGGTCTGAAAAATTCATGAACTTTTCTATGTCATCAAGTCTAAGTAGTCCCATGCATGAAACCTGTAGTGCCGTAAAACCATCTACTTTATGGTCCATTACTTCTTGTGCATCCCTTCCTTTACTTATTTACTTTGTCAGGTATCTGCCTTCAGGTCAGAAACTCCCCAAAATTAATGAAGAGAAATGGACTGAATGTCCTTTTCCATTTTCAGAATAAAAGGAAAAGAAGGTAGTTCAAAACCTCTCCTGCACTTGCACAAAAAGAGGAAGATAAATCTGCCTGTTAGCAAAAACACCCTCCCCCAGCTCCCCAAACCTGAACTCCTCTTGGCTGAATTCAGCCGCTACTGACATTCTAGCACTGTTTTTCAAACAACATTTAACAAGAAAATCTTGCAAGGACTCATTTTCCCATCATCTAATTAGTATCAGCCCTGAGAGGGCAAGAACCATTATGTAGCATTAACAAATTCATGAGCCTTATAAGTTAAAAAAAGCCCTGGAATACAGCAGAAAGCTGTATTTCAGAGAGTTTCGTATTGTGTGGCATCAGGCATTTTCAAGGAAACAAATGATCCATTTAATTAAGGGCTTCGCATTCTGCCTCAGACAACATCAAATATTAAAGGGGAAGATGCAATCAGCCCTCTAGTGGGCAAACATGGATTCAAAAACTGTTAAATCCATACGGATAATGAGAATGTTGCAGCTGACACTAAGCAGCGTTTCGCTATTCTACTTCAGTGAAATCCTCCTAGCTGGGAAGAGGAGAAGTTGGGAGTGCTCCTTGCTAAGCATGAGCAAAACGCTATATGAAATAATTGATTTTTTCCCCCCTCTGTTTAATATACATTTTTAATCTTTTCTCCCCACTGTGCCTCTGAACTACCACTACTTTCACTGTATTCTTTCTGAGAGCAAGTAACAGAAATGACTGCAGGGCTCCCATCGACAGTGGGATACAACATCTCTACACCTGCTAGTTATGGCTCTGCAAATTCAGACAGCCTAGGAGAACATAGTCTTAATAACACAGAGGTTCATATAAATAGTTAATTTAGTACCCAGCCATATGCCAGAGATCAAAAGTAACCCCTTCCAATGTAGATAATCCTTCCTTTTTATACGGAATCTGCAGGGAAATAAAGTGAGATATTCAGGGAATGTTCATGTTAGACAGAAACACCCTCAAAAAATCATTAAATGCCAGTAAAAGGTGGATGTATAATTCTAATTCTGCTCCCATATGAAAGTCATCATGATGACTCATAAACAAAATGATGCTTATAGCTACTAGACTACAATTCTGTGGCCCACAGTGCCATATTTTTTTCCACTTTTCATGCAATGTTCGGCTTCATTCATCAGATGCTGTTATGAGATAAAATACCATCTGAAACACCAACTCATAGTAAAATTTGCCCAAAGTGGATTAACAGCATTCTTCAATCAAGTGCTTAATGAATCAGTATCACAGTTGTGAAAACTATATAGGCTTTTACATGGCTTTGAGAATTTAAATTCCTAGTATCTACTGAGATTAGTCTTAGAAGTTAATTGAGCCCCTGCTCCTTCTCTTAGTCTATAAATACAAGTTTGCATTTGTATTTTTTTAACTCACAAGTTAAAAAAAAAAGAAAAAAGAAACAAATCAGGAAGGTCTGAATTTAAACTAGATGACAAGAGCAAGTTTAGGCTGTAGAAGTCAGCAGTTCATTTAGCAAGGGAAGAAACGTACTACCTTTGCAATGCAGAGTTAATGAAGCAACTGATGCAAGCAGAGCATACTAATGGATGCACACAGTTCATGACAAATGCTATTTTAACCCTCACATTCCCTGATTTATTTTGCTTAAAGATTAAGTTAGACCTTTTCTTGCTAGTATTTTCAAAGAGGCAGGGGTAAAGGAGACAGAACTACACACAGCTAGAAAAACTGGGTAAGACCTAACTAAAGCCAGTGAGCATGAATATGCCAAATGTAAGCACATGAATCTGCTTCCACACTTCTCCATCCAGCATCAACTCGTATTCAGAAGTTAATACATGCTTCCTTTTACCATTTTACACTAATGGCATGTATACTGTCAAATCTATCAGCTATCCTCACAGATTTTAGTCAACTTGCTTCCACAGTCCTTCAGTTGCTTGGTGGCTTGCTAAGGCTACAGAAAGGCATACTTTCCTGGCAAGGCAGCAAGTGTTTTTAAATGCTCTCACCATACAGCACTTTTCCAGTTCTCAGATTTCAGGGCACTCCTGCATTTTGTCCATTTGTTCAAATTATCTTAAAAATACCAGACCCAGAATGCTATGGTATTTCAGCATGCCTCACAAGTTGCCTGTCTTATTTTAATGACTCCATCTATGCTTTTAACAGATGCATTTACCCTCTTCTGTCACAGTCTTGCTCTGGGAGCTCACACGATGTCACCACATTCCTAAAGTCTTTCACAGTCATTGCTTTCCAGGATACTGTTTCCCCACATTCCTTATCTTTATATCAAAGACATTCAATTGCATCCAACAGGCCACTTCTGTCTGACACTGCACTGTGTCCAAACACCTAGGCCTCCATCCCTGACTGCTGGAGAAGTCACAAAGTATTATCCAAAAGGCTGAGCCTTCCATTGGGCTGTATTAAAATACATTTTGCTTGAATAGTTCCAGTTTAGCAACCACATAAAGCTTCCACTTTTTTTTACAGCTATCCACCAGCGTTGCTTCCATCTGTAAATTATCAGTCGTGATTTTCTGTTGACCTCCAAATCATTGAACAACATCAAGCCTAAACCCTTGTCTACCAATTTTAGAAATCAGTCACCATTAGCATAAAAGACCAATGAAACAATAAAACACAATAAGGTGTTTCCTAGTAGAGTGATAACATGCAAAAGCTCAACCTAAAAGAATACAAAAGGCCCATAAGAAAGCACTAGCAAATTTGGAAATGCCAGAATTAAGGTCACCTATGGCACCATAATTCGGCTCCGCAATGCAGATGCATTATAATACAGCCTTATTGACTGTTTCCACAGAACTGCATCCTTACTGTGTTGCACAGATATTTAACAAGCAAGCATTCAGGTTCCTTAATCTCCACTGTGTACAGCCTCAAGCCTCGTCGACCACATGCAATTCCAACCTCATGAAGCAGAATCACTTATCTGTTGTACCCACCACAGAAGTATCAGTGCTCCGTAAGCACTCATCTACCCCCACAATGTCCCTGGGATTGATGAAAGGCAGAAATGAAACACAGACATACCCACTAATTCCAAGTGGCCAAACTGATACCTCTGACCACTTCCTTTCCTTTAAAATAAAATTCATATTACATACATTCAAATCACAGCTCCTATAGATTTCTATGCTACAGCTATGAGATGCAATGCTTCTGCGAAGCAAAACAGGGTCTGATGTAACAGAGGACTGTTCAACAATATTTGAGGAGAGATTAGAGTTTCAGGAACACCAAATGTTAATTATTTCAGGATAACTGTGGTCATTTTTAGCCTGTGGCAAATGCAAATCCACTGAAGACTACACCTAACTCATATTTGCACACGCTTCAAGGCAAGATTATATGCAGGCCTGAACCACGTGGCTGTAGGATACAAGAGCACATCTGCAGCAGAGGCAAGCGGAATCTACAGTTCTTCAGACTAGCAGTCCAGTAAATGCCTCCCCAAAATCATCCTCTTCAATTCTGCAACCCCATGGTAATGGTTGTGGGTTTTTTTTTTTAATAAACCACTCATTTCAGGTTCTCTGAGTAAATATGCAGGACTGACAGGCCTTCATGTGCACACCAACTATGATCACACCATCAAGGATGGTATCAAGTACCTCGACTCAATAGGGCCAAATGAAGGTGTGATCAGATGTGTGACAAGAGTTTTGAAGTTCTCCCTCCCAGCTGAAACTGTAATGGTCTCCCTCATTCCACTGCACACACTCATTCCATTGACATGTGCTAAAATTAAAACTCATGACTGCAGAACCTTTGCTGCTAATTCCTTCTGCCTGGCACCATGATGAACTTGAGAGTGCATGCACACACACAGCTACAATATCCCAGCAGAAGGGAGAGAACTTACCGTAACACAAGCTTTTACCTCACTGTACTCTGAGGCATGTGGTCAGTCTTAATTCTGACACTTTCTAACCTCCAAGCACAGCATTCACATACAAAGCAAACCGTATGTGTACAAATTGCATGTGTGTATATGGATGTGCACGTGCACCTGTGCTCCTTAAAGCCAATTTCAACTAAATCTGGGAAAGGGGTAAAGAGTCACCACAAGTCCCATAAAAACATACAGCTGAGGAAAGAAGAGAGACCCTTTTGGAGCCCCCTGCTGAGGGAAAGGCTAGTAAGCTCACCCTTGATTAGACATCAGAGAATCCACACAGGAGAGAGCCGCTGGAAACCAGGCTTCATTAGTTCCGCTGCTCACGGAACTACTTGTTAAAAAAAGCAAACAGAAATTCCAACATGTGGCATCGTACTGACACCCACGTTGGTCATCAGCAATCTTAAGATCCACTGCACAGACCTCTGCCACTGCAGCTAGGATGATAAATAACAGCAACGGGAGTTTATCACCTTTTGCTAGCCTTAAGAGGGGGATGAAGTTCTTTGCCAGAGGAGGTCACATTCTTGTGCTGACATCAGAGACATGGCAAAATTTGGGTTTAATATTTCTAGGCTTTGGAGGGAATGTGGTCAAACTTTCTGCTTGATACTTCAAACTCAACTCCCCCTTTGCCCTTAGACTTCTAGCCTGTTGCAATCCCTTCTCCCTCCTGCACTGACACCCAGGACCAAACTCTTTACCCACATGCGCCACTCTTTTCATCCTCTATTGCAGTAGCTCTTGCTTATTTCAATCCCTTAATTACCTAACATGTCTCCTCTGCCCCACACTTCTATTTGTCTGTCCATATCCCAAACTCTTGCCCCCATCTGTTTTGCTAATTCTAGGTATCTCCTCACTTTTCAGCCCCTAGCAGATCTGGTTCTCTCTCCAATAACTCTTGGCCCTGTCTAGCTTATCTTTGTGTCATCCCTCCCTTGCAAATAGGCTCCCCATCACATCCTCTGCTCCATTCCCTACTTTGTAGGCTCCTATCTTTTCTCCCTCCTCCCTTCCGATTCCCATCTCTGCTCTACTCAGTTTCCAGACTTCTGGACTCAGTCAGCTCCAGGGTTATCTCAGTCTCATCCCTACCACATTTGAACCCAGCAGTGTCTTCTCCCACCTTCCCTTTGTGCCCATTGGTGGGGGAGGTTACTGTCGACACTGGGCGCAAAAGACTCCGTTCTGAAGCAGAAGGAGGAGCACTTGTGACTGAAGGAAAGACATGCTTGGCCCTTCAGCAATAGTCTAGATGATGCTTATTGCTGCAGAGAAAGTATACGTGTAGTTCAGCCTCAAAGAGAAGCTGAGAAAGTTTAGTGTATTTATCTCTTCTGTAGAGATAGATAGTCTGGTCAGTGCCTGGAGTTATACAAGCCTCAAGAAATGTCAAGGAGGATATAATCTTTGCATATTTCAACTGCCAAGCCATAAGGCATCGAAGAACACACTTAACAGATACTTTCCAAGCTTACAACTTGGCCAAATTCGACCACATTTCACAGATACATGTGGCTTACAAAAGCCATAGCACCAGATTTCAAATCTATTCATAACTATGGGAAGCTCAGCAAACAGCAATGCTAAATCCTGTACAGGGCAGAAAAAACAGGCTTCAAATGAGATACGTATGAGAACATGCCCACCTGCTGTATTAAAACCACCCGCTCCCCTTGTGTGCCTAATTTCCTCATAAAGCAGGCCTCCATCCAGCTTCTTCACCTTTTACAGCTCAGCTCTGCTTCTTGCTAGGACTTCTGTACACTTTTGTACCCTACTCTCATGTCAGAAGCTTCCTATATTCCTCGGCTGCTTACTGTCTCCCGCAGCCCCTGCTGTTCCCACAACCTAGTGAAAGTAGGGAAATGCAGAACCAGGGGTGGGGAACACAGCTTGTTGGTTATGATGAGATGGCAAAGCCCTTCTCAAGCCTACAACCTTTCTGCTGGTATCCTAGGCTCTAAAGCACAGTTCACAAAACTATTCCAGACTATAAACTGGTATTCATCCTAGTCTTTACAACCTTAATACTGGAACCAAGCAATGCACAAAGACAGCTCTCTTCCTCTTGCAAAGAAGAAACTACTTAGAGAACCACTTGTCAGAGAGAACTGGTGATCTGGACCAAAAAGGCTGAACCACTTCATCAGCGTTGAAGTCCACTGTTCACACCACATCACAAACTTCTAAAAGTGCATAGGAACAGGCACCACAACAGTACCAAGAACAATACCACTGTCTCCAGGACCTACACTCACTCTCTCTTCCTCAGCATCTTTTAAAGTACTGAGGAGAAACCATGTGCTTCACACTGCCAGCATCTTACCAGAAAGGCTCTTAATGCTGAGCTCATTTTCCACAGAAAAAGTGAATTCTACAAAGATTCAGGGAAGATTAACAAAGAGCTGACAATGAATCCAGAACACAGATAAAGTGCCATTATTTATGAAGGAAAACGCTTCGCAGGATTGGATTAGATGCTGTCCCCTGGAGGTGCGCAGCATTCTTTTAATAGCATAAAGCAAAGCACTGAGGACTCTGCTAGACTAATCCTAAGGCTAGATGCCCATAATCTGCAAGTGACACCACCACTGGTAAGGCAAAATCTTTGCACCTTTTCTTAGAAGAAACCTGGCCACAAAGATTCTTGCACCACTTTCACAGCAGACTACTGATTCACTTCTAGAGATAATACAGCGGCAAAACAGCTGCCATTCACAGGAGCAGGAATCTCTACATTCAGTAGAGAATAGGATGGGCTACAATACATATATCACCTCTGTGCTCCAATTCCTTCCAAATTTGCCTTGCTGTGCTGCCCATTCAAGACCTTGCTCTGTCTTCACCGACACACCAGGAGTCAGGAATTATGGCAACCAAGCACTTGCTCAGGCACTCAGGACAGGAGAGTTCACAGAGCTCAAAAAGAAATTTACAAGCAACAAATACTTAAATTTGACAAAATAAACTTGGCTTTAGCAATTGGGTATTAAAAAAAACCCCAACTCATATTGCTCGATGTAGTACAACTCCTTCAGGCATCTGACTAGCTTGTCCTCAGTGCATCATCATAAGAATCAGTGAAATCATACAAATGCAGATGTATAAATACCACAAGCAACTCCTCCTCCAGCCCGAGAAGGAAGCAGGAGTAGATAAACCTCACCCAGTCTTAATTTAGCTCGGATATGCCTGCGTACTGTAGTAACGGGAACTGCCCAAATCATCCTCTAGAATATAGCAGAAACCCAGGAGTCCTCAAAGTTTTAACTTGCAAGTCTATTCATACACCTATTATGGAGATACAATTCTCCTGTATTTCACAAAGGTTTTCTCTGCCACAACTCCAAGAGGAGATAGCATCTTATTTTTTCAACGCTCTTTTTTAGTTCCAAACTTGCACATAGAAAGCATCAGCTAAATAAGAGATCCCAAGGAGGGCAAAAGTGGTCTTCCATAAATCTCAGTTTAGCTATCTTGCACCTCAGCACTGCTCAAAGACTTGCTGAGGATGGTGGCTGGAGAAAGAGGCAGAGGTACCCCACTCAGACTAAACAGGAACACAGGAAATCTTCCTGATTACATGTTCCTACATATAAACTTATTCGGTTTTTCCCTTTTTCATGAGCTGTTACACAGATGAAGCATGTTCATAAAGTTTCTGCTGAGTCACTCCACCTGGCCTTGGGCATTTTTCTCCCCCCAAACTTACACGTAAACAAGGAGCTATAATTAAAGCTTTGGTTCAGCTTTAATTCTAGTGTTCACTGCCAATTGTGTCCCCTGTAAATACATATTTAACAACCTAATTAGCAACCCAGACTGTAAGCAGCTTGAGTAGTGTGGAATTGTGGCTAAAGCCCAAAATAAATGGTGGGATTACAAATAGCAAGCTACCTAACACTCCCACCCCTCCTCACCATACGCTGATTATATTTTCAAAGTGGAAGAACTGGGACACTGGCTAAGAGAATAAAAAGGGTGAGACAAGCTCTGGGTTTGTACTCATTTAACTTATTGATTTGAAAATGTAAACATTGAAAAAAATGCTATAGTTAAAAATGAAACAGTGCCTGAGGTGGATGCACTGATCCTGGGCCTTCCTATTGTTATGATTTAATTCCAGAAACTTAACTAAATCTGTATGAAAAAAAGAGGGTTAGGATGGTAAAAGGGAAACTGAAACGGGATCATGGGCACATAGCAGAGAAGTGAGAAGAGCTAGAGACCACCTTCTATTTCTGTTTCCATCTACAGAATGGCTACTACTTTGCCTCTTCCTGATCTTAATCATCCCCCACTAAACACTAAACACCCATTACTACATCACCCATTCATGCTCCTGCTTCCCAACTAAGACATACCATTGCATTCCATCCCTAGCACTTGCCTGCTCCATCCAGCTCCCATCTTTCCTAAAACACCTACACTCCACATGCTCTGGTTTAAGTATTCCCTCTTGGTTAATCTCTCCCTCTTCCACTACTCACCTGTAAACAAAAGCCACATCCCTCCAAGCTCAGAAACCCAACCTCAGGGCTCAGAACTCTCCCCCCTGTTACCTGATACCTCAGGGCTCACAAACACTCTTATACCAAATTCAGAAATACACTTTCTTTTTTCCCCCTCTTCTGTTGGAAATGCTGAAATAGGAGATCACAATGCACACAGAAGCATCACAGTTCACTTCCTGCTCTGTGTGCCTCCAGTTTGCAGTCTTTACACTGGAGAGACTGGAGTCCTCATTCAGGATCACCCAGGGATGCTAGGGGTCTCAGCTGCACAAGTCAGTACTGCATTCTGCAGTACACCAGCCATACTACCTGGCTGTGGCCTCAAGGATATGGTTTAACCTCCATAACATCCTGGTCATTAACTAGCCTGGTAACGTTAACATCTGGATAGTCAGAAAATCAAGGCTGTCCACGAAGGAGATCTTTAGTTTTGGGTCAACCCACCAACTTGCAAACACTCCTGATTAGAGAGAAAAACCTCAACTCTTTCTACAGCTGAAAGATTCTCTACTCAGGGACACTATGGGGAAAAGGCAGCTCTCTCTTCTTCCCCATGTAACCTTCTGAAGGGTAAAATGCACCCCCATCCCCATGCAATGCTACTGTCAAGGTTTAAACCCGCTCCCACCTGTATGTCTTGCCATCCTTGTGCTGGTCCTCATCATCCTCGTTTGACAGCACAAAGGGGTCGCTCATCTCTGGCAGCCCTGACTCCTGCAATCGTTTCTTCTTCCGGCCCCGAGGCGGTTTGGGGGCAACTCCCCCACCCCCGCCACCCCCACCACCTTCAGAGAGGGTGGTTGTCCCTTTCTTGGACAGGTCAGGAACCACCTGGAGGGCTGCCTGGGAGCCAGGGGGTAGCGCAGAGACAATCATGGGAGCTGAGATGGGAAAGGTTTGGGCAGAGGCGGCTGTGGTCACTAGGGAACCTGATGGGGAAGTTATCACCAGACCAGGACCTGCAACAAAAGAAGATGGAGGAAGTCAGTTATTACATCTCTATTTATGTCCAACCTCATTATCCCTCAGAAGCAAGCTTTATACACTTACTTTTGACTATAATGCAAACAGAAGAGTAGCTTACCCTCCCCAACACATTCCCAGTCTCCAATGCTGGAAGTCAAACTTCCATAAAGAAGGCGGCTGAGTGCCTAGAGATTCACCATGAATCATGATGAAACCATGCCAAGGCAGTCTACACCATCAGTAAGGCTAGGAATAATCTACAGTCCAAAAAGGATTCTCCAGGACCCTGTCCCCCCATCCCAGAGTCTCCTTTGTATGCTGCCAGAGTCCTTGGAGTCCCCTACCTGCTGTCATGAGCCCAGCAGACTGCACTGGTACCACGGTGATGTTCTGAGTCACAGGGGCTTGGCTGTGTGGCGTCAGTTGCTCCGGCTTGGTGTCTGAGTCCATGGAGATACCAGTGGGCAGGGCCACAGAGGTGGGTACTGTCAGCAAGGCAGGGTAGTGGGGGGGAGCCAGGCTGCAGCCCTTCTCTGTGGGCAATAGCTGCTCCTTCATCTTGTTAATAAACATGGTGTTCTCAATCTAAACAAGTGGGAAGGACAGCTTTTAGCATACCCTGGCTGAGCAAGAAATGCAACAGAAATGCATAGCATGCAAGAACTTCTAACAGGAAGCAAGACCAGCAAGAGAGGCTGGAAGACAAAGATCTTACCTGTCCCGAGACGGTGGGCACTGCTGGCCAGAAGTACGGGGAGGAGTTGAAATGAGATTCTTCCATCCTAGCTGGGCACAGAGGGGAAGAGGAAGGGGGAAGGGAAGAGGAATGGAGGAGAAGGAAGACGGACGGACAGACACACAGACACACAAAAAGAACATTAAACCCAAAGAGACTCCAATATGGAACTGACTCAGTCTAATGCTGTGACAGTTCCTTAATCTCCCCTGTCCTGAGCAACTTCTCCCCGCTTCTGAGCTACCTGCCCAAATCCAAAAATAATTTTCAAGGGAAAATGATGTCTGCTATTCCCACAGGCTTGGGTCCACCTCAAAGACCTCTTGCCCAATAGTCCTCCATGCAAAAAAGGGACTGACTACAAACCCAGAACACCTCCAGACTTCCCCACTTATCATCCACCCAAGTACATGGCATCAATGATGAAGTCTGTGCATCTGCAACCAGGCAAATACAGCTGAAAACCATTTTTCACTGTCACAGACAGCCCGAGCCCACAAGCAGTGAAAAGTTTGGACTTTGCCTGTCCTTCCACCCCAGCTCAACACTAAGGGCCCAGATGCAGCAAGGGGACATTAGCATTATGTTATATAGGAAGAAAGACAGGCAGAGAGAGGGAAACAGACTTGCCCAAGATAACAAACAGCCACAGCAGAACAAGAAGTCAAACTCAGGGCTCCTAACTTCCAGCTGCCCACCGTGTTGCCCACCCCAGCCCCACTCTCAAAAGAAGCCCAGAAATATCACTTAATATTCCTGACAGGCAAGACCCTCCACTATAATCCAACTGGATGAGACGAGGCAGTGGGAAAATAACCTGATTACCCTGCTCCTAAGATACCCTCTTCCCAAGTGAAAAGAGGGTATCTTCACATCACAGCTCTCTATTGCCCATTTCCATTCCCTTCTTTGGGACAGGATTCTGTAGGATTCTGTCCTCAGTCAAGTGCTCACTGCTTCATCTCAACTCTTTATGCAGCCAGAGGACCAGTTAGACACCAAAAGTTAGCCCTCTGAATACAGAGGCATAATCTCTTTAGGAGCACCTGGCTGAAGAAGCCCTTTAATCCCTAATCCTTACATTCCTCTCTGTAATAGTATTAGCAGAAAAGTTTGTTGCACTCATGAAAACGCTATTCAAAACCTAAAGAAATGAAAGAAAGAGGAATATATCCTGAAGCAGAAGACACACCTATTCCTGAGCAAGCATGGCAAAACTGGTAGGTACAATATGCAGGATTAAAAACTATGCTCAGAGAACATCTGGCAGAGCAAGCTGCTTAGAGAAAGCAACCACTGTAGGTTTCTCATGCAGCTACCTGCAAATTGTCCCACTTCTATTCCTGCTCTGATGTGGCAGTAGTCTAATTAATGAGTAAATATTGTTTCTGAAGGGCCCATTTCAATCATCAGATAAGCTGAGGAGCATGCCCTGAGTAGCATGAAACATTTACTTTCCAGAAGTCTATTAGGGCAGAATAAATACATGTGGAATTGCTGTGGGTGAGCCAAAATGCAAAGGTAATTTTCCTCTATGTGAAGCAGTATTTAAATGAACCAAATTACCTGATAATTTTGTTTTTATGAATTGCTCATGCAACAGCAAAGCCAAGTATTCCTGCCTCACTCACTCACTCCAAATCAACCCATAAACACACTTGAGGATGAATTATTTACCTTGCATCGGTGGCATGAAGTCAGACTGCTAGCTGCCTGCCTGAATTACTCTGGATTTACACTGCTGTGATTCAATCAGAACTTGATGGGGCAAGACTCTTACCTTCCTTCCTCTGCTTTCTTTTCTGAGCCAAATTAATTATTAAGTACACTGCCCACAGCAAGGCCCTGTGTATGTAATGCTTAATTACATGACTTTTTTTCTTCCACAGGATGGGCACAAGTGAAGAGATAACACATTCTTGGTAATCGAGCACCTCCTGAATCAAGAAGGGGGGTTTGTTTGGAATGTCAAGTTTGGGTTTGGGGGTTTTACGGGTTTTGTTTGTTTGGGGTTTTTTGTTATTGAAATAAACAAGCCCTTACTTCCTTTACTCCCATGTCAAAAACATCAAAGCAAACCTGATTCTGTAAAAACATAAAGTCTCATATAATAATCAGATGCATTTTCCAAATAAACTTCTCCAAGACTCCCTTGGATTCAATTGCAAACTACAGGCATGAAACAAAGATGCCAATTCAAACACAAATCTCACAACAGCTTTCTTACTTTAAAGAGTACAAGGAATGAAAGGCAACTCCATTTCAAGGTTCTAAAATCTATATTAGCATACGCCAGGGCACTCAGTGCCTGCCTGCGTCCATTAGTCCTCTACCAGAACTTCACAAAACAACTAACTTTTGTTTGCCCAGTTTACGAAGTATGCAAGCAAAAATAAGGCTCTCATTGATTCTCAGAAGATGACTACGTTGTTTTCCTTAAAGTCTCTAAGGATCCACTTCCCCATCTAAAAATCTTCCTGCTAGAGCAGATATCAGGCCTCAAAACTTTTGGTGTGAAGGGCTGAAGTGTGGTGAAGTTATAAGAATGTGGAGGAAAAGGAGAAACGGTGTAAAGGTTGAAGCTTTCATGCAATCTCACTAGAAAGCCAGTCTTCCAAAGGGAGAGAGCAAAGGTAAGATTCCTTCACCAAACGGCTGCCCCGATACCCACAGCCATCCCTCCCCTACCCCGCCTTTAAGGCTAAAGGATGTTTTGAGAACATGCACCCCTATTTGCAGCCCCCACTTTCACGCTGCTCACACTTACTTTACCAGAACTCTGCACGTAACCCTTCCAATTGCTCTATAACTACCAGACATGGGCTGGAGCTTCAACCCTGTAACACCGCACGTTCCCACTGCAGGGCCTTCATCATCCCAGCTTCCACAAACAGGCCAGAGATGGGACCTTCTTCCTATTCACCAGTCTAGTATCAGACAGATGTCAACGTACCCTCCTGATATAAACCAAAAACACTTTCTATGTACAGACCACAAATGTACATACACCAAATAAACAACCAGAGTGAACCAGAGAACTCACAAGGGACAAGGAATCTGGAGGTTAGATCTCAGAGTACTTCACAGAATCACATACTTAATGTGCTGGACTTATACTTCTTTGCAGGTCATCGCTTTAATCATAAACAGAGAGATAAAAGCACGTGCAAGTATACAGTGAGGTAGAGGTTGTGTTTCTGGAAGGCACAACCAAGGTTGTACATACAGTTTTTTAGAGATTGATTTTTAATGGTTTTTTTTTTTATTATTATTCTCCAGATACCTAGCTTGTATTTTTTATTGGATATGGAGTTTTCAGCTGACAAAACGCCCCGAGTATGCCACTCGGGAATGATTTACAGTGTCATTTTGTGTCTGCCCAAGATCTTTGCTCAATGACAAGGAGCTTTCAGGCTTAATCACTGCAATATACTTAGGATGCTGAAGGCCACGCAGGCTGCTAGATCAAATGCAAAAATGCTTCCACAAAGCTCATAAGCACCGGAAAGTTCAAGCACCGCTACATCTTTAGAACAAGTACATCTGGATGCACATCAGGAGTACCCCAAACATGCCAAACAAGCTCTGAGCCCCGAACCCGCACACCCAAGCTAGAACAACTTTGGTGCCGTTCCCTGACACATGCACGGCCTTCACCCCAACAGAGCAAGCCTCTGTCTGCCAGGACAGGGGACTGGCAGGTGATGTTCCCTGCACCTCAGCTCCTCACCCCTCCAGCACCCTGCAGCACAAGCCACTTCAGGCTCCCAAGGCTGGACGTGTGTCCCATGCCACCCCCACCCACCCCCCGCAGCGCGGCCAGAAGGAGCCCCTGAGGCGGGTGTCAGTTTCTTACCCCTCTCACTCTCCCTCCTCTTGCATTTCTCCTCCTTCCAGGGCCGTCTCTGCAAACAAACCGCCAGGGTTACGGGGCCGCCCGGGACCCTGCATGACAGCGGGCGATGCAACGCCGAGCCCCCGGACCCGCCGGCCGCCTCCGCTCCCCAGAGGAGCGGCCATGGGCGGAGGAAGGCGCTCCCCACGGGGACCGGCCAGGATAGGAGAGGGGGGGGCCCAGACCCACCTCCCCCGGCGGGGCCCCGCGCACACACGGCGGCGGCGGCCGAGGACAGGGCGCAGCGCCCGGTCACCCACCGCGGCTCGGGGCGGGGCCAGCCCGGGGGGCGGCTTCCCCGGGAGCGCTCCGGACCCGCCGCCGGGACGAGCGGGCGGGCGAGCGAGCAGACAGATAGACAGACAGACAGCCCTCCTCCGTTTCCGCTTCCGGATCGCCTTGGCCCCGGAAGTGCCGAAGGCCCGGTCCCCCCTGTCCCTCACACCCGCCCCCCAGCAGGTTACCGGGCACCACCCCCAGCGGCGACCCCGACCCGACTCCAGCGGCAGCAGCGGCCTCCTCACCGGAAAGAGGAGCGGCGAGTCGCTTCCGGGTCAGGGGGCGGGGCTCGCCTCAGCTCTTCCTGGGCACCGAGCCGAGCGGAACGGCGTCATCGGCGGCTTCGCTTCAAAAAGAGGCGGAGCGGCGGCGGCGGCCACCGGCCCGGGGCAGGTTCCCCATCAGCCGTGGGGGGGGGGAGGTGTGCACCACCGGGTGGCCGCGGGCCGGAACCCAGGACCGGGGCGTTCAAGCTGGGGGGGGGGGGGGGGGCAGTAGGCAGGCTGGCGCCCGCGCTTACCGGAAGCGCGGGGTGGCGGGAGCGCGGGCTGTTAAGAAGGGCGGAAGTGGCGGGGCGCGCGGCGGCCCCGAGCCCGGCCGCGAGACCGCTTCCGGCCGGGGCGGCCTTCCCGGCGTGACGTGCGCGGCGCGGAGGGGGTGGTGGCGGTGGGGGAAGGCCGCGGTCATTAATATTAATGACTGCTCATGAATAATTAATTTCCTACCACCGCTTCCTAGTCGCGGCCCGCCGCTCTCGCCTACCTGCGGGTGGATGTCGCTCTGGCTGGGGCAAGCGGGAGGTCGTGCCCGCGGCAGCGGCTCTTCAGTTCGCTCCTCCGGTCCCGCGGCCGAGAGCTGTCGGGCGGCCGCCGGCCTGGTGTGCCGGTGTGGCAGCGGCCGGGCCCGCTGGCGGCGCAGCGCAAGAGGGAGGCTCCGGGTCCGGCCCGGCGGGATAGGGCGACTCGGTTGTTGCAGATGAGCTGACCCCAAGGCTGGCTGCCAGCACCTGGGGCGGGCCCGGCCCGCCTGCCCGTTGGTGCCTGCTGGCTCTGGAGCTTCCCTGGCCAAATGCTAAACGTGTTTGTCGTGCTTACCCAACAGAAAGGACTTGAGCGAGCTGATTCTCTGCCAGGGCGGCAAACTGGACCTGCTCAGTCACAGAAGGGAACAGGAGAGCAGCACCAGGCACGGAGGGGAGCTGGGTAACCTTTCCACAGCTGCAAGCCGGTGGCTCAGTACTAATACACCCCAATACTAATTCATTTTTAATTCTTCCATTTGTAACCGTTCAGAACTCGACCCCAGAGGGGGCTGCGACTCACCCTTGTTCTCACTCATTGAGAATTCAGTTTCACAGATTCAACCCACCTCAGTTTTGGCTGGCAGTTTCCTGCTGTCTCCCGTGCACTGGCACTATCAGGCGTGTTGCTGTGCAGCGAGAGTTGCTGTGCCTGAAGCAGCAGGCAGACCCTGAGCCTTGGCTGTGGGGCAGAAAAAGGTATGAGGCTGTTCCTGGAGAAGACAGGTGCTCTGCAGGATCACCGAGCCATGCGAAATTGGAGGCACCCTACAAAATACCCAAGCCAGGCTGGCTCTGTCTCTCTTGGACTCTTTAAGTGTAAAGAGATTTTTTAGATACCATCTACTTCATTCCATCATTTGTAGCAGGGCTATCTTTGGCACTGGACCCACCTCCTAGGTCAGGTTAGATTACCTTCCTCACCTGTGGTGTTGCTCCCTGGGCATTTGGCTGAGCTGTTTCATTGCTCTGACTTAAGAGAAATCTCCTTTTTTAATCGTTGCATGAGTTTTCTGCCAACTTGGCAAGCTGGAACAGCTTCTCTGAGCCAGCATGAGTAAGAGGGTGGGACCAGAGAGAGCACGACTGGAGCAGCCAGCGGTTAGATCGGCTCTGGTGATCGTGAAACCGCAACATCCGAAGCAGTGGGCAAAGGGAAATGTGGCTGCTGAGAGCCGCAGCCCACCTGCCTGTCCCCACAAGGTGCTGGGGTATTGGTCATCCCGGGGGGCACAAACTTCCTCCTGGGAGGAGCCAGGATTAGCTCTGCTCTTCAGCAGGAGTCACATGAAGGCAATTGTTGATTTATTTAAATAAAAGGAGTTGGCAGCCTAATCAGTTTGGAAATTAATTTCCTTGTTAATTTGGGGGTTTTGACTTGCTCATGAATATGCACAAATGCTCTGTGTTTGTGGTGTGTTTTTTTTTTTTCTCTGTGTAATTTATTTTTGTGATTGTCAGATCACCTCTGAAGGTGACATTTCCCTCCTCGTTCTGCAACGCAGCAAATGCATTCAGTCTTATGCCTTGGAAGAGGAGCTCTGGCCTGGCACTGATGTCTCTTTTGCCTCTTCTTTGCCCCTGTAGCCTCTCAACACTCCTTCCTCTCTGTGTGCTCCCTAGAAAGAAATGAAAGTCTATTCCAAGAAGAGGGCTGGCCTGGGCTTGGTAAGCAGGACAGCTTGTCAAGGTGCCCTGTGCTGGACAAGAAAAAGCGGTGATGCCAGCTGAGGACTAAGTGCTTGATTGTTTCTTACTGCACCTAGAGTTTTGTGCTCCCCCTTCCGGCCCACACTGCCGAGTACCCTCCAGCAGCACGTGAGGCAGCATGACTAACATCTGTCAGAGACACTTGATTTCTCTTATCTCCTTAGAAGGAGGCAAAATCAGAGAAAACGTGTGTGCGTCTGTCTCTGTAGAGTCCATCTGATCTCTTCACCTTCTTTCTCAGTTTTCTTTTGCCTCCTCCTGCCTGCCCTGCCTCCTCCTGCACACCATGGAAGAGCATCCTGGCCGCCACCACTGGTTTCTCCCAGTGAGGTGTGCCTGTGTCCCATGTGTATATATTCAGGGCTTCTGACATTTCATAACATTTACCAGCTGTGTTTAACAGAGGACTGCAGCGGCTATAATCACTGCTGTTGAGGGCATGAGGAGCAGTGTGGGCAGTAGGGGGGTGAAGAGGTGCCCTCCTTACCCTATGCTTGTGCACAGGGGCAAGCATTGCCAGGCAAGTAGCATGATGCATGCAGTGGAGACCCCCATACCCAGTGGCTGCTTCCAGACTGGCTTATTTCTTTAGATAAAGTCAGCTTTGGTACAATCTCCAGCTATACAACTTGCTCAGAGCGTGCCATCACAGGGCTGGGAGCTGTGCAAGCCATGGGGTTCACCCAGAGATGCTACCAGCCCAGGCTGGGAGCTGAGAAAGTGCTGTCTGAGAGAAGTTTACACTTATGTGGCAAGAAAATAAGCCAGCAGCAACATAAAGCAACTACAGGAAGTAACTGAGCCCCGGAGGGGATGGCTGGTATGTGGAGGTTAGTGGGGCCTCCCTCTTGGGAGCTGGAGCATGCAAATAGCACCGCTGGGTGCCTGCTTCCTACTGAGGGTGTGAGCTCCTGAGAAGCTCAGCTGAGCCCCAAGTTACGGCACCAGTTCCTCTCGCAGCCTTTGTAACAAGCTCTTCTATGCACCTCTGACCCAGGAGGGTGGCAAACACACACCTCCACGCTGGCTGCCTGTTCCACCTCCCATCCTTGATGCCTCCTCCACAGTCACATCTGACTGTCACGTTCCCACCTCAGCTCTTCCCTTCTTTTTCTGTTCATCTGATTTCTTCCTTTCTCTCCTTGCCCACCACCCTAACACAGGGCATCCACCCCTGGACCTTCACTAACAATTACACACCATCCACTCATGGTGCAGTTGTATTCTCAGTGCTCGAGCACCTTTTGTTTGCTGTGTGCAAACTGCACTGTTCACGGTGGCCATTCCAAAGATAGAAGTGGCACTTTGTATTGTGGGATCCTGCTTGGCTGGCTCCTAGGGCTGGGAGACCTGGCCTGATGTGTTCAGTAAATCGCATCTGAATTTGCTGGGAGTACCTGACAGTAGGCAGGGATAGATGAGCTTGGAAGGTGTGATGATGTAGTGACACACATTTTAAGGATGGAGGCTGTTCATTCTTGCCCAAATTTTCATCTGCTCATGAGACAATATTAGGTTTATCCTGAAGCTGGTATTTTAATCTTGTGAGTACATTTCTTAGCAAGGCGTGTTGTCCTCACTCTTTCAGGGAACTGACATCTTTTTGGCAATTGGCTGATTAAATCCCCTGGCAGCACACAGCACACAGCATTTCAGCACGTCATTCCTGCCTTTTTTTTTCCGCTGCATGGAAATAGATTGCATCTTGCTTAGTAACTTCTCTGCTTAGTGTTGTTTAAGGTTTGAGAAATACACGGTAACAGAGAGTTGTGCTGCACATGTTTGCTTGCCTGAATCATAGCATTATAGTGCACAAAGCAGAAACCACACACCTGGGATACACTTTGGAATTGGAAGCATGTGCAGCAATGATCCAATGCTTTTGCACTGAAAGAAGTAGGTCGTGCTGGAACCAGGGACACGTGGGGTCCAGGAACATGGTAACCTGGGACTGATCAGCTTTAGCCACAGGCAGAGTTACTTGGCCACTGCAGTAAGCACAATTAGTTACCTGACCTTCTGGCCAATGTGCCACGAATACAAATCCCATCATTTGGAAGGAGGAAAAAGTACCAGTGGATGTGTCAAGACAGCCAGAGGGGCTGTGCCTGAGGACCTTCAGCACAGGGCAAAAATCACAGTCACATCAGAAATGCCTGAGGGGGATCTCTCTTGAACAGTCACAGCCAAAGCGCACCACATGTGCACAGGCAAAACTTGCTCCAGTGGGGTGATAGCTTCTCTGTGGCAGTAATGACACAACAGGATTAAACCAAAATGGATTTTATTAGATCACCACAAAAAGCCTCAAGAAGCATTTTGAACATGATTCAGCAGTGAGCCCTTCCAGCAGTGAAAGATCCCTGCAGCCTAGGCTGCATTAGCAAAAGTGTCGTCAGCAGATCAAGGGAAATTATTATTCCCATCCACTTGAGAGGTATAGGGCCCCATCTGGAGGATTACACCCAGGACTGGCTCCTCAGTATAAGATGGGTGTTGAAGAACGGCAGCATAGCCAGCAGAAGGGCCGCACAGTGGAGGGCTGGAGAACGCGATGCACAGGAGATGGCTGGGGGAGCTGGGTTTAATGAAGAGAGAAGGTCAAGGGGGAATCTAATTCGTGTCTGCTCCTACCTAAAGGAGAGTTGCAGAGAAGACGGAGCTCACCAGCTCACCTCCATATTCATGATTGTTCAAAACTGGCTGAGGAAACTGCAGTTTTGGGAGCAAAGATTTGCAGCATATCCATCAAATTCAGGGTAA